TTCTGATCCCAATTTTGACACGTGCGAGTTCGTAGGTCCAGAAGGGTGGGAACATGGGTGGCTTAATCAGAATCTTCATCTCATTTTCACCCTGGCCTTTTATATTTAATATTCTAATGACAATTGCTTCGTAAAGGTTCATATCATCAAAAGAAAAAAAATTATGGAAATAAAAAAATTAAATTCATTTTGCATTGTTAATATGAAAAAACCTGTAGCGTATCCTAGTTACAGATAATGACAATGGTATTCATTTGATATAAAGACAATCCCTACATAAAGGGCGCATGTTATGACTCTGTGAGGGCTGGAGGGGTATGTGGCAATAGGTATCATATTAACTCTATGGGCGGGGAGGTTAAGAAAGCCCACAGACTTTGTTTTCTTAAGGTCATCCCTTCTCGACAATTCCATGAATCCCTCCCTTCCCTGCAGAGCCCCGTGGGCCTGCTGAGACTGCCCACTGTGCTGAGCTTCGGGGGAGAATATGCTAGTATTTCATAAATAAATCAGAGAAGAATAAAATAGGAACTATATTCGAAGTATTTAACATTTCCTGGACGACTCTCTAGCTGATGAAATGGCACTCTACAGGAATCCCCTGAGTATTGACTGCTAGCTAAAATTCAGCAGAAAGGAGGCATGAGAATTTTTCTCTGACCCCTGGGGTAGTAGCCAGTGACCCTCACCTCAGAGTTAGATTCATCCCCTCTTCAATTCACAGGGCGCCAGAGGACTGCGCTCCTCAGAGGACGGGGACTGTCACATCGCATGTCTCAGTTCTGGAGTGTACAATGAATATACCCTTCCCCGTGGCACAGCTATGTCCAAAAACACCTGGGTCTCTCCCCAATCTACCTCTCTTCTCTCTCTCACACACCCCTAAAGTCCCTGCCAAGTAATGATTAGCTAAGAATAAGGCGACTCTGCGCAGTACAGATTTGGAGACATTACGGATGGGAACGATGTTGCAGAGGAACAGGAGAGGTTTTTTTCATCTTTTTTGGAGGCGGGGTTAATATTGCTTTTCCTCCTCCCCTGTGACAACTCTTTTCAGCCCCTCGTCTTCATTTCGTTATTGCCTATAGTTTTGAAAATCGCTGGTTTCATCTCAACCTCACCGCCCAGAGCCGCGCTTCACCCACTGCTCCTTAGGGTGGGAGGCAAACCCCCTCTCCTGCTCCATACGGCGCCCCCTTGCTGAACCCGCAGGTCAACCTCCCCTCTGAGACTTCTTCCTTACTTCAATAGGTGCCAGAAGGAGCAGTGTTCGGTTTTGTTTTTATTTGGGGGCAGCACAGAGAGCTCTGAAGCTTTTTGTCAGGAAGCCTAAGCTCTCAGAGACAAGCCCACCCCACGCCCGTGTGCAACTCAGAGTTCGCTGCTGTCACAGGGCTGGGCAGGACCGGCTAAAAAAATGCCCAGCAAGTTAATCTGCTCAGCTGGAGCCAGAGGCCGGGGTGCGGAGAGTCACCCCGGGGCCCTGCGGCTTCTCCCGGGGGGTCCCCCGCAGCGGCGGGGAGGCTGACCTGCCCCCGGCCCGGGCTCCGGGGAGGCTGGCTCGGAGCAGGCGCCCTGGAGCAGGGTCTCGGGGGTCCCCGGAGCAGTCACGTGCTCCGCGACGCCTCTAAATCTCCCGCGGCTCCCCGCCCCCCGCTCTCCGCCGCTGCGGCCGGTGCAGGAGCGACAGCGTGGCAGCGTCCCCCAAGCCGAGGGCCTGCAGCGCCGGGACGCCCCGAGGTACACGCGCAGCCCCTCCCCGCGTCCCTGCGCGCCGCGCGGGCCTGCACCGGGGGCCGCGCACCCCCCACCCCGGGTCCCCGGCGCTGTCGGGGCTCCAGAGGGCGGGATGGGGAAGCCCAAGGGGGCGCGGCTGGGAAAATGGGGACTCGGGTGGCGGAACCGGCAGCGGTCTGCCGTGAAGGGACAGCGGGAAGGCACCGGGCTTCATTCTTTGGTGCGGCGCTGTCCCTCCAGTCCCCAACTCACCTGGGGTGGAGCAGGCGCGAGCCGAAACCCGAAGGACAGTGTCCGGGACCGCGCTGGAGCCCCGTCGGGAGAGGGAAGACAGGGGTGGACAGGGCGCTGCGGGCGGACGAGCGTCCGAAGCCGGGGACCTGCCGCCCGCGGGGGGCCGGGTCGGGGCTCGGCCCCAGCGGGTCTCTGACGAACCCGGGGCGCAGCCGACCCGAGACCGGGAGGCGGTTGCCCTCCTGGGTCTGTGTTCCTGTTCGCGAGGTGGCCTCAAATGACAATTGCGCGCAATAACAGCCGTAGAACTCGAATTCCAGAAACCGACCTTCTTACTCTCAAGTTCACAGACCCTTAATTTATCATGTAAAGGAACTGAGGCATTGTGTTGGACCGAAGTCAGAAAGATTTTACTACTCAGACCGTGGAAACAGCCTAAGGCTCTTTTAGCAAAATTTTGCAGCCGGAATGCAATTTTAGATTCCAGATTTCTCAGGGGAAGAGAAACTCTAGGCTAGAATCTAGAAGGGAGGACGGTGCATGCTTGTGTGTTTGTCAGCTGAGCAGAACAAAGCTGTGTTTATTTTTCCAATTCAAATTTTAGCAGATTCTGGCTTTAAGAACAAATCGTGGGAATATTTGGGAACTTGGAATCTTGCCCTTATTCCAGGATCATTATAATCGATAATTTAGCATTGTTAGAAAAAAGAATTACATGTATTTTATTCTTTTGTGTGATTGGCAATTGGTACCCTTTGTGAGAAAAACGCTGCACATTTTCATGAGGCAAGAAATTACCCTAACCAAGAAACCTTGTTTATGTATCAGTCTTTTAGTATCCTTTGAGTTCCCTGTGGTTCTCCCTGTTACTAAGGACTATTTACTTTCTTAAAATACGTAGTCTCTTCAGAAGATTTTGTCTCTATGCATCAAATATATGTCAATTGAGAAGAAAATTCCAACAACTCTTTACAAAGACATTGCTTTCTTAGTGTTGCCACAGTTTAGTCAAGAACTTTTCTTTCACTTTTTACTCGGGAGAATTAGGGTTCATTGTCTCAGCCTGGAAATTTGATGAGATATAACAAAATATAACTAAATGTACTTTCCAGGTCTAAAAAAGGTTTCACACAGACCATACCAGATTTCTTGTCAAATAGTATTTCATTTTTCAAATATGCTTTCTTTGGCTATATTTCACAATTTCTATACTAATCTGAGATGAAGTCCACTTCACATGTCATTACTTTTATTACGTATGAAATACCTATGTTGCATAAAATGGTACACAGTACAACATTCATAGTAACATTTGTTAAAAAGCAGAGAATTATTAAGTATCTCCATTTCCATTTTAGGTTTGCTTATTGTGTTTTTCAAGAAAAAGGAAGTGAAGGGGTAATTTTAAAGAAAGATATTCTTCAAGCTTTTTTTTTTCCCATTTCAGAGTGTTTCTCTACCTTAAATTTTCAACTTTAAAACAGAAGACTTAATCTTGTGGCACAAGATTCCCCCAATGTTTAAACTATTCTCCATTTACAAGGAGGCATTTTCAAAGAAACTGCTTACCATGGCCATTCCCTTTCTTCATTTGCAATATCTATTATTTAGGTGTGAGAAGAAACTGTTCATTGGAGCACAGATTAACAGAATGCTCACTTTGTGTGGAGTACAAGTTAGGGGTGTGTGTGTGTGTGTGTGTGGTGGAGTGGGAGGGAGAGCAGGAAAGAGTTGAATACAATCACAGCAAAATGAAATGAATAAATGAATGTGGAGTGAAAATGCTGTGAGAGAGAGGAAAAAAGATAATGTACTAATTAATTTATCAATCCTACATAATTATCCATTCTATTCAGCAGCAGTGCAAGTGTCCACATTAGTGAAACAGTGTATCATTGGCAGCCAGGAGAATGCCATTCATTCATTCATTCATTCATTCTCCACTTACCACCTTTCATATCTCAGTCTACTGTTATTCACTGTATGATCTCAAGTTAATCTCTCATAGATGATCTCTTAGATTGTACCTTATGTTTAGTCATCTTTATACCATGAAAGTGGAGCAGAGCACCTGGCATACTGTATGTTCCATAAATCCTTGCTGAATGAATAAAGGAAGGAACAACTAGTCTTTCATACCTATTTACTAATGAAAGGGACCTGTCCTTTAAAATTATAGGTAAATTATTTGCTTTCTTAACACACTCAAATATTGTAGGGAATGAAAGAAATGTCCTCAGTTTTTCTTCTGTGTCCTAAGAGTATTCAAGCATTTCCTTCATCTGCTTGCTAAGGAGATAGTGGATTTCATAAGTTAGTAAATTAATGTTTTATGTGCATATATTTAAAATACAAAAGATTTAGAAACAAACAGAACAATCTGATGATGTGCTTGTTTTCATTTAAATAAAAACATGTAAATAAGTTTTGCGATTTTGGTTTCATATTATGTGATAGATAGCTTTTATCAATGAAGATATCCAATTTAAAACTTCAGAGTACTACTCTCATTATCTAGTTAGGTGTCTTTGCTTAATTTTAGAGCCACTTAACGCTGCTCTAATTTCAGTGGGTCCCTACCTATGTAGGGTGTAGAGTGTAAACATGCGTTTACACACACGTATACTCATACACTATCTTGAATTTGCTCACATTCTCAGGGTGATTCATTTCTGTTATTTTGAGGCTGTAGAAATTAAACTACTTTTCTATAATGATTATTGAAAGTATTGGCTTGGCACCCCCTATGCATAAAACACTTTATTAAGCATCATTGATCGATATCATGAAAATAATTAAGATTTTTCCTTTACCTCCCTTAGAGTCTAATGGAAGAATGAACACATGCATTGGAGAAAATCTGAATTTTAGACTCACAGCTTCATTTTTTTTTTCACTACAAAATTAGGTTGCATTTCTTCTTTCTTCAAAATATTTTGGACAGCAATTTTACTCTAAATAGGTGTCATTCACAGTTACATAGACTCAAAAAGCACAGAGCACCATTAGAGAACCTTGATAGTAGGAAAAAAGGCAACCAGTAACATCTGATCCACCACAAAATTAGGATAAAGGACTGATTCAAGAAAGTGAGTCAAAAGAACCAAGCAGGATTATAGTTACAAATAGCCTGCATACATTATAGGTATAAATAGGATGATGAACAAGCTAGATCCAGCCAGGGGGTCATCAGAGATCAGGAAATCAGGCAGAAACACCAGTCAGAGCTGCTTTGATTAGACGCTCACTGCCCTGCCCAGGGGAGCTGCTGGGAGGCTCCTGACCAATAATATGATGACTAAGATGATTCAATAGGTTGTGTGAGTCACTCTTGGGCCATTGTTCTTTTTCACTTTTTCATTGTTGGTTAGGGTCTAAGATTGAATGGATATGATCCTGGGCTTTTGAATTAATAGATGTTTAACAGGATTTAATTAACTGCCAGAAAGTAATTCAATCAACATAAATGGCCCTGGCTTATGCCTCTGATCTTAGCAGCTGGGCCTCCCAGAGGCCAAGGAGGAAGGACCAGCCTGAGTGAGAGTGAGACCCCTGTCTCTACTAAAAAATGGAAAAACTAGCCAGGTGTTATGAGCACTTGTAGTCCCAGCTACTTAGGAGACAGATACAAGAGAATTGCTCAAGCCCAAGAGTTTGAGGTTGCTGTGAGCTAGGCTGAGGTCATAGCACTCTAGCCTGGGCAACAGAGTGAGTCTCTGTCTCAAAAAAAAAAAGAAAAAAAAAAGGAAAGAAAGAAACTTACTGTATATAAAACTGAAGTTAGATTCATTTATAATCAATGTATATACAAATAGGATTTCCTATTTAGAAATTTATTGGGCCAGTATCTATAAGTCTCTCATATATGGAGGATAACATTTATTATTAATTTAAACATACATACATTTTGTAATTTTGAGTACAATTCAATTATAGGTCTGGAAATAAGTAGATAAACATATATTTAGATATAGGAAAAGTGCTTTTTTAGCTACATATACATCAAGACCTGAGAACAATGTATATTGATCAGAATTAATTAATTATTGCTGTATTAAGTTTTCTGTAGGAAATTCTTGTTAAAAAAATGAAAGTGTTTACTTTTTCAAGGGGGAATGGGATTCTTTTGTCTCTTGTTTCTGTTATGGGCAATTAGTGCTTCCTTACACAGTACCATCAAATATCTAATATGTAGAGATAAATAAGTAATAATATTGTGGTATGATATTAATTTCATTTGAAATGAAAAAATTTGTAGTTTTTTTTTTTTGCAGTTTTTTTTTGGCCAGGGCTGGGTTTGAACCCACCATCTTTGGTATATGGGGCCGGTGCCCTACTCCTTGAGCCACAGGTGCTGCCCTGAAATGAAAACATTTATTATGAGGAATTATACAAGTTATCCATAAAGTTCTTGTGCAATTTAAAATAGTTAGCTATTTTATGGACACCCTGTATTAGTATCACGTCTACATTTAACTTTAAGATGCAATGTTTTCCTTAAGCAATATAAATTCATTAACTCTTTTTAACTGAAATTATATGTGATTTATTAATTATAAAATAAACAGGTGCATTTTGTCTCTTAAAAACACCAACAGCAGTGCTGGTTACTCAGTTCTAGTCCTAATCCATGATAATCTAGCATATCTCAAAAGACTGACAATTGATCACAGAATGATTTCCTCATCCAGCATTGTGTCTACGTAATCAACACTACAGCTTGATAAACATTTGTTGAGTGCCTCGTATATATACCTAGGTCCTGGCATAGAGTTCCCACCCTTGAGGAGATTAAATTTTGAACACTATGAACTAGATAATATTTAGCTTATGAAATTTTTGTTCCAATTTTTATTTTGTCATAAATATTTATGATGCAGTGAAGTTACTATGTTGTGTGTGTTATTCCATTGCTAATAAATAAGGTGGAAAGGTAGGCATTATAATTGCAATGAAAGCAGACTATGGACTTGTAGCATCAGACAACTATGAACAAAGCATTATGGAAACCCTGAAGAAGAGCTCATCATACCCAGTTGAGTTAACCTAACTTTTAAGTTAGGCCTAGTTTCAGGTAGGAATGAAAGGAATTTTTAAGGTGAGATTATGTGACTACACTATATACCAGGTATCTTGACCTCTTGTAAATGATGTCTCTTGATATTCTTATCTACATCTGCTTTTTCCTTTCTTTACATTATTTACCCCAGAAATTTAAAAAATAAGATCTGCTGCTTTAACCCAAATTAATACAACCTAGAAGTTGTAGAATTAGACTTAACTCTAATTGTTATTGGCTGATATAGCCACTGCACTTGGAACCAATTAAAAACCTCATCAACTTTCTTAGACGATTAAAAAGGTAATGGGAACAAATTGTAAAATTTACTTTTCCCCCCATAAAGGATTCATGTAAATGTTTTTCACATTGCTAACAAATGTCTTTTTATTTCAAGCAGGACTACAATATGGATTTAGAGCTCAAGGAGTATTATAACAAGACCCTTGTTGCGGAGAATGACACCACTTCCACTCGGAATTCTGATTTCCCCGTCTGGGATGACTATAAGAGCAGTGTAGATGACCTGCAGTATTTTCTGATTGGGCTCTATACATTTGTAAGTCTTCTTGGCTTTATGGGGAATCTACTGATTTTAATGGCTCTCATGAAAAAACGTAACCAGAAGACTACAGTAAACTTTCTCATAGGAAATCTGGCCTTTTCTGATATCTTGGTCGTGCTGTTCTGCTCACCTTTCACACTGACCTCCATCTTGCTGGATCAGTGGATGTTCGGGAAAGTCATGTGCCACGTCATGCCTTTCCTTCAATGTGTATCAGTTTTGGTTTCAACTTTAATTTTAATATCCATTGCCATTGTCAGGTACCATATGATAAAACATCCTATATCTAATAACTTAACAGCAAACCATGGCTACTTTCTCATAGCTACTGTCTGGACACTAGGTTTTGCAATTTGTTCTCCCCTCCCAGTGTTTCACAGTCTTGTGGAACTTCAGGAAACGTTTGGCTCAGCGTTGCTGAGCAGCAGATATTTATGTGTTGAATCATGGCCGTCTGATTCATACAGAATTGCCTTTACTATCTCTTTATTGCTGGTTCAGTATATTCTGCCCTTAATTTGTCTAACTGTAAGTCATACGAGTGTCTGCAGGAGTGTAAGCTGTGGGTTGTCCAACAAAGAAAACAGGCTGGAAGAAAATGAGATGATCAACTTAACTCTCCATCCATCCAAAAAAAGTGGACCTCAGGTGAAACTCGCCAGCCGCCAAAAATGGAGTTACTCATTCATCAGAAAGCACAGAAGACGGTACAGCAAGAAGACGGCCTGCGTGCTGCCTGCCCCAGCCAGACCTTCTCACCAGAACCACGTGAGATCACTTCCAGAAAACCTCCACTCTGGGAGAAGCCAGCTCTCTTCATCCAGTAAGTTCATACCAGGGGTCCCCACTTGCTTTGAGATGAAACCAGAAGAAAACTCAGACGCTCACGAAATGAGAGTAAAACGTTCTGTCAAGAGAATAAAAAAGAGATCTCGAAGTGTTTTCTACAGGCTGACTGTGCTGATACTAGTGTTTGCTGTGAGCTGGATGCCCCTGCACCTTTTCCACGTGGTAACTGACTTTAATGACAACCTTATTTCCAACAGGCATTTCAAGTTGGTGTATTGCATTTGTCATTTGTTAGGCATGATGTCCTGTTGTCTCAATCCAATTCTGTATGGATTTCTTAATAATGGCATTAAAGCTGACTTAATGTCCCTTATACACTGTCTTCATATGTCATAGAGCTGTTTACTAAGGAAAGAACAAATGTTGAAGTCGTCTAAGATATATTCATGATGACTATGTCTGTATAATAAATAGAAATTTTGTTAATATGCGGAATTAATTTATGTCGAACAGTTCAGGATTTGAATGTCAGTTAATAATAGATGAAAGATAATGTTAATAACATTGTTAATTTATTTAGTTGTACAAAGTCAGTGTCAATCCAATCTGTAATTTTATTTGGAAAGTAGTATTATGCTGTATTCCATGTTGTCTTACAAAAAATGAATTGTATTTTTTGCTGAAAATAAAAATTATATTTAACCAACTTGGTACTTTTGTCCAGGAATATAATAAAAAAAATGCTTTCTTTGGGAATATTTAACTTCAAATTTAGGAAATTTCTATTACCTACTTGTCTTCACTTCTTCTCCACAGGCTTATTAACATTTCTATTTTGAAAACAGTTACTATGTCCAGAAAATCATAACTAAAATGACAGAGGCCAGCCCAAGTTGTGATAACAATTTTTAACATTAAGTATAATTTTGGGATTCTTACAAGAAAATGCCTATTTCTTATTATTGAGAATTTGTCAAACTGTCCACTTAATTTCACTCTCCTGGCAATACACTATTAAGTTACCAAATAAGAATTGGTTTTAAATCATTTTTAGACTTAGACTAGACTTATACATGTACTACGACATTAAACTGTACGTTATACGGTGCCTACAGAAGTACAAGCTTCCTGTTATCCAGTGAAGAATACAGACTGGAAGGAAGGAAGATGGTCAAGTTACCTCTTCTTAATCTATCCCAGAAGAGTGGGCCCCATATATGGAGTTATTAACACTACCTAATAAAGGTAGTTTTCATATACACTTTTTTATTTTATTCAAAATGTGAAATGTAGGCTCAGTTCCCTTAGCACAGGGGTTAGGGTGCCGGCCACATACACTGAGGCTGGTGGGTTCAAACCCAGCCTGGGCCAGCTAAACAACGACAACTGCAACAAAATAAACAGCTGGGCGTTGTGGTGGGTGCCTATAGTCCCAGCTACTTGGGAGGCTGAGGCAAGAGAATCACTTAAACTCAAGAGTTTGAGGTTGCTGTGAGCTGTGACTCCACGGCACGCTACCCGGGGCGACAGTTTGAGACTCTGTCTCAAAAAAAAAAAAAAAGTGAAATGTAAATAGTATCTGTATTTCCAGTTATAAAATAATTTTAAAGAATATTTAAAATGTGCACAGATAATAAGGTTATTTTTTTTGCCACAATATAGAATGATTATTATATTGTGTGCTATCTCCATACTGAAGTCTTATCATTATTGGAACGTTTTATTTGTTTGTTTTAACCAGATTTTTAAAGAACTAAAAGTCCCTGAAAAAAAAAAATTGAACATTTTCAAGTAAGGCTCAGATGTGCAAAGTATAATTCCTATAACTGATTTAAACGTTCCTCCGCATTTCTGTTCATAAAAAGAGAAAAGAACAAAACAAACAAAAGGCCTTTAAGTTTGCAAGTATCTAATCTGGTAAGTATTTGATCAGTTTAAAGTCCAAAATTTTATAGAGGTTTTCTTTCTGCCCCTCCTACTCACTGGAAATTGATATGACCTCATGCCTTAAGGCAAATATGCCCCCTGTTGGCGCCTGCTGAATTCCAGTTGAGAAGCAATAATCTTGCCTGGTCTTCTTGCTAGATCATCCTCTGCCTCTGCTGTATAATATATGGTCTGTTCTCAACAAGGTTAAGACCTGAGAGTCCAGCCCAGAATCTCCCAACTAACAATAGGACTTAACATTCTCAATGACTTAAACTCTCATTGACTGGGTCTCAGCCACATCTTCCATTTTGTTCCAAGTTTAGGGTGTTACTCTGTGGAGTGACCGTACCCCTTGCAAAGTCTAAGAACTATTGGGGAACTTCCACTCATTACTGCAGGAACTTACAAAACTACCCTACTCATAGGTCACAAAGAATGGAGACAGGCAGCTTGGGCTTACTCAAGGCTTCTCTCTGCCCACACACTATCTACTTTGTTGTGTCTACCTTATGTCGATATCATAGCACTCTGTTTCTCAGTCCTTTATTTTTCTTATTTTTGATTTATTTACTTATTTAAAGACAGGGTCTCACTTTGTTGCCCAGGGTAGAGGGCAGTGGTACAATCATAAGTCACTGCAGCTTCCAACTCCTGGGCTAAAGTGATCCCAAGTAGGTGGGACAACAAGTGTTGACCACCATGCCCAGCTAATTTTTAAAATATTTTTCATAGAGACAGGTTCTCACTATGTTTCCCAGGCTCGTCTCAAACTCCTGATCGCAGTGATCCTCCAGTCTTGGCCTCCCAAAGTTCTGGAATTACAGACATCAGTCACTGTGCCCAGCCTCATTTTTTTTTTTTTTCAGACCTTCAGATAGAAATCTGGGCACAAGTCTCCTCAGCTTTTAGTTCCCCTCTACTGGGTGCTTTATGAGTGAAGCAAATTGTTACACTAGATTGGGAAAAAAAATAAAAACTTGGTTCTCTTTTGCTTTTCTCTTTTTTCCCCTCTTTTCTTTCTATGGGCTTCTAATGGCTTCTCCTTCTCCCCTTTGTATGCACTATGGCTTATAGGAAACCACATTCAGAATGTCAAGGTTTGCTTTTGGAAACTTTTATGATTGCAACCTTTTCCCTCTTTCCCTTCCTCGTCTCACCATCCACAAAATAAAAATTTTAAAAAAGGAAGAAAGAAAAAAGACGTGTAAGCTCAAGATGTACCTTTCATTCAAAAGCCATAAGGCATTTGCACTTTCACAGGGGCCAGTTTCCAGGTTCAACGTTAGTGGTTGGAGGGGGGAAAGAAACTTAGTGATGAGAGCAAAAATAAATACATCAGGAGATATTTTCAAATGCACATTAACTGTCAAACTTCACAGATTTTATGGTAGATGATAGATGAGTCTAGTTAACCTGGATAAACTAATTTGGGGCTCTTAAACTATTGAACTTCAAGAAAGCAATTCATCTTCCCTAACCAGAAATGGCCTGAATGTTCTTAATAATAGAAAGTTGAAAAGTTTGAAGGGCTTGATGGATAGAAGTCATGAAGATTGGGATTATTGGTTTTGGAAGATTATTATGAAAAATAATTTCCTCCATGGATACTTGCTTAGAGACTTAAACAATTTATGTTCATTCAACTCTCCACTGCTCAAGGGCTGATTATCCAACTTTTTGGGGTATTTTTTCCTGGTGCCTGACTTGATTACTTGTTCAATAACACCTTCAGAAAAGCATGGCCAGGGGAAATAATGGAGATGAAATTATAAACAGTCAACCTCATTACTTTTTCACAATTATTTAAAAATATTTAATTCAGGAAGAGATGTTAAATTGAGTTTTAGTGGTAATGTAAGTCGTTCTGCTAGCTATGTTGCCCATTACTGTGAATAATAAAACATTAGATGGAAAAAAAGAGAAAGTTTAGGAAAGCACAAAGAACAACTAAAATAATTAAATGAGGAAAAAATGTGTATGATGATTATTTTAGTCAACAGATATGTATTGCATATTTGTTGTGTACCAGGGGCCTGGGATATGTTAGTGAACAAAAGCCAACAATGTCCTCCTCATTTGGTGTTTGCTTTGTGGGAACTGTGGAGTCAGTGGCAAAAGGTGGATGAGCAATAATCAATAAGAAATAACATTAAAAATAAATTGCATAATAATACTATTGTGTATAGATACATGTCTTGTTTCCTAAGCATAGTATAAAAAAGTACCACAAACTGGGTGGCTTAAAACAACAACATTTATCATTCTAGAGGCCAGAAGTCTAAAGCCTGTAGGGGAGTCCTTCCTTGCCTGCTCCCAGCCTCTGTGGTTAACCGATAGGAACTGGTGTCCCTTGCAGCTGCTTAACTCTAATTATGTGCTTTCATTGTCGCATGATGTTGTCCTTGTGTCTCTGTGTTCAAATGTCCATCTTCTTATAAAGACTCCAGTGACATTGGATTGCCCACCCCCACACACATAGTCCAATAGGATCTTGTCATAATTAACCTAATTGCCTCTGCCATCACCCTATTTTCAAATAAGGTCACATTCTGAGTTACTGGGCATTAAGATTTCAATATTTTCTTGGGGGGGAGGGGACATAATTCAGCACATAATAGTATAGCAATGATTATTAATAACAACTAGAGCTTTAAAATAATACACAGCAGGGTCAGAAGGGGTGTGACGATGGCAGGATGGGGAGAAGAGAGATATATAATTTGAAATGTGATGGCTCCATAGCTCTCAACTTTTGTGCAAAGACTTGAGAGAGGTGAGGAAGTTAGCCATGTGACTACCAGGGAAGAGAGAATTCGAGCAGAAGGTACAATTTAAAGACTTTGACGGGACTCTTTGAGTGTTAGAGGAACAGGAAGGACATCATCGTGGCAGATGGAAATGAGATAAGAAGCTGAATCAGAAACACAGTTCCTTGTAGGGATTTGTAAAGGTGCTGAATTTCACTCTTAGTAAATGGGGAGATCTTGTGGATATTGACCAAAGATAGAATATACTCCATCCCTTACACTACAGGGATCATTCTAGTTATTAGAATAGACTGTGTTCCTTTCTGTCTTATGACATTAGCGATCATGGATGCTTAATAATGCACTAAGGTCACCTTCCAGTACCCTCCTTGGCCATCTGGTGACCATGATGATATTCAGCAATGAGGGATGTAGTATTTTTTCTATGATGAGTTCACTAACTTGTCTGACCACATATGTGAGAGAGAGAGTGTGTGTGTGTGTGTGTATTCACTGGTGGTTGAAAATGATGATATCTTAGTTCCCTTTTTCCCCACTTATTAGGTTAAACACATTAATGAAAATATAATCTCCTTTATCTAATTGGTTGACCAATGGTACAGTTCTTTTAAGAAAGAAAGGATGAAGCTTTGCTATTATCTCTTTATTTGCTGCTTGTCAGAAAGTGATCAACTCATGGATGTAAACACATGTGATGGC